CTCCATTTCCATAAGTGAGGTGGGGCAAGCTCCGGTCACTCACAGCGCCCCAGCCAGTGCCCCTTCCACACCACTGAGTGATGATCCCCCAGACTTCCTCAGCGCTCCCAAGGACAGGCCCCGGAAGAAATCTGCTCCGGAAACACTGACGCTGCCAGCCCTGCGGGAGCGCGCCAATGCTGAGTAATGGCCACCCTACAGACATGCTTGGTGGACAGATGCTTGGCCCTCATTCCCCACCCCTCAAATCAGGGCACCCTACCCACTTTGCCTGCCTTGAGAAATGTAAAGTCTACCGCTCCCCCAACATCATTCCTGTCCCTTGTCCCCAATAAAAAAGACAGCAGATCCTATCCTGAGCCAGATGGGAGAAGCCCCTTCGTGAGGTCCCAGATTTCCCTGCCATCACATGGGCCTTGGGCTCCCCTCAACCTGCTACCCAGCCCCACTCTCTTCTCATCATTCCAGCACATGCCCTGCTTTCCCTGCCTTTGGTTCAGAGAGGAGCATGGGCTTTGGCATGTTAGAGCCATTCCTTGACCCATCTGCAGACAGCTCTGTCCTGGCAGGTAACATCCCTCAGAGCTGCTTTTGCTAGAGCCAGGTGGCAGCCAGTGCCAGCCCAGCCCTTCCCTGAAGGAACTTGGAAGCACCTTGCAGACTGTTGATAAAAACTGGCAGGCATTGACTGCTCCCCATTCCCACTGGCAGTGAGACCCACCAGGATGTTTAACCTATGTCCTTGCCACCTCCTGAGGATTGCTGACTGTACCTCCGAGCTTCACAGTACCACAGCAACCCTGAGCCCACCAGCATCCAGACTGTAACTCTGCAGCTGTGCCAATGTCACCCGTGTCCCTCCAGCTTTGACAGGAGGGCAGAGCTGAGTTGTCAGGACTGCTTCTCCTGTTCCTGATGTCATGCTCCAGGCCACTGGTGAAGAGCCAGCATCTCAACCATCTCTACTCTGGAGACCTTTTCCACCTGTCACTAGCACTGGCTTGTCCAGCACTAGCAGTGTTGTAGTGTGGAAAAGGCTGCAACGCAGTCAGTTGATCCCCTTCTAAGCAAGGGATCGTAGGACTGGCGGGGCTGACTTTAGTCATGCTTAGGCTGTGGGAAACCTTTCCCTGCAGAGTGGAGCATGGCATTCTGGGTGTGAATGAGAAGCCCACTTGGTATGAAGCCACTGGTGACAAGACACCATCACTGAGTTGCAGCTCTGGATTAATGCTTGTCATAGTGGGACAGGCCTAGCCATTGTCCCTATAGACAAGCCCAAAAAGTACTGCTCGCCATGTCTTGCCTCTGTCCTTCCCAGTTGAGCCTTTCCTGTGTCCAGAGTTGTGTTCTTGGTCTTGCCAAGGCCCTTTACTTTCACCAGTCCCCTCCAGAGTCCTACAGCAAGAAGGGGTAAAGATCTGTTCATCCCAACCCACCTAGCCTTCTGCCAAGCAGCCTTCTCCCCACTGGTGCCTTCAGGACAAGGGCCATCCCCACACCACTGCTCCAGCAAAGATTTCTGGCAACTATCTGGACCCATGGCTGGACCTGCTTCGTCACCAGCTATTCCCATTGCCCTCCAGGCACCTGGACTTAGCCTCCAAACTGCCTCACACTCGCTCAGGTCCCTGAGGAGTGGGTCCCATCATAGCTGAGCCTGCGGGGTATGTCAACCATGGGTACTGAACATGTGCAGACTCCAGCTCCAAGTGCATCCAGCACAAACCAGCTGAGCCTTCACACTGGGTTTGAGCCTCAGATACAAGCACACGTTGAATTGCACTGATTCCTAAACAGGAATCCCCCAACCCACTGCCCTCTGCTTGGGCCTCAGCACAGGTCCCTTTGTTCAAGTATTTTTTAACAGTCTTTGCTACAGTTTGTGTCCTGGACAAGCAGAAATGGAACAGCCAGCCTCTCCTCCAGGAAACTACATGCTGCTGATGGATCAACCAAAGGTCTACATGGGAGGCAGCTCTGCCAGCTAATCTGGATGGGCCAAGCCCAGGTGAACCTGCTGTACTCCATGACATCCAGAATGCTGTCCTCATGGAACTTGGGGCTTGGGAGGGACCTCAGGGGTTATCTGCTTCAACACCCTGCTCTGTACTTTCCACTGGGGGTTGAGGGTCACCAACACCATACATGGTGGATCATGCCTCTGCTGTGTGATATGAGCCACTGGAAGAGTAGCTTGGAGGCTGGTTGGGATTCAGTGATCCCTATGAAGCATTAGGTCATGACAGGAAGAGGCTGGGTCTGGAGGAGCCCCCACAGGGTTGGCTGCTTCTCCTAACTTGTCAGAACCCCTAGGGTCTGCAAAATGGGTCTGGAAGTCTAATAGGAACAGGCTCTGACTATTTTATCACCTTTGCCTCTGAATGGAGCCAGGATGGCCAGAAGCCTTGTGAACATGGGAGAAGATTTATTTATTGATTGTGGACTTTAGACAAGGTTGTGTTTAGGTCTGGGGAGAAGGTGTGGGGTAGTTTTTAATTGGATTCTAGTTTGGCCTCCTCTTCAACCCAGACTGTGCAAAGGGCCAAAGGAGTCATGCAGAAAACCTGTTTGCTGTAATGGAAAGGAATGGTCCCACAAATGACACTGAGGGACTGGGTATTTAAGATGGGCCACAGCTGGATTCTGAACCCCTTCAAAAGGGAAGGACTTGGCTTGGGAATAAGGCGTCCACCCACACCCACGGGCTCTGAGTCAGTTCCACACTGGAAAGGATCTGTTTCCTGTTCTAGTTTGGATGTAGTCAAAATCTCCCCAGAAAAGCCATGCGGCAAGATTTTGCACCATCACATTTGCACTGAGGCCGAGCATCTTGCTTTGGTCTAAGTCAGAGCCCAGCTCTATACAGGTTGAGCCTAGTGTCCTCAGCCCATCTCTTCTGAAGGGTATTTTCCCTCGCCAAACAAATTTTAAAGCCCCTTCTCACGTCCACTGAATTGTATGCCCCTTGCCCAAGCTTTGTACAGAATGGGCTAGAACCTGTCCCTAGGTTCCTTGTAGCCTGAGCCTTGTTCTCTGGGGCTCAGACCCTTGTGAGGGGCTCGGTCTCTGCCTCGCCCGGAGCAGATGCGTCAATCCAGTCCGGACTTCTCTGCATTGTGTCTTCAATTCTCACCCCTCAAGGGTTTCCCCTTTGTGCCCACCTCTTGGGCTGTGGAAAGCCTGTGTGAGGCTGTTGGTATCAGCCTTGGGTATATGTGAGCTTGTGTTTTCCTCCTGCAGCCAGGCTGCTCTGGCTCTTGTCCCTGGACATTTTGGTTCATCTCACGCATGTGTCCAGGTCCCAAGGCCTTTCTGATATGCCCACTGTGGAGCTGTGCAGTAGCTGGTGATGGCAGGGGCTGCATAGGGAGGTTAGTTCTAGTACTGTGCAGGAAGGATAGGGGCAAGTGCTGGAGCGAGGGGACAGTGCTCTGGTGCTTAGCCCTTTGCAGCAGGCACCTGAGGCTGATGGTTGTCTCTGCAGAGCCCCTCTTCCCTCCCTCCCTGCCTCCCTGCTTGGAGCACCAGCTCCTGGGCTTTGCTCTGTGGCCCCATACCTGGAAGCAGGGATTTGCTGATGACCAAACCAAGCGTGAGCCAGGAGGGGCCAGATGTCTGTGGGGTTGAATGTATCTTGCATGAATGTACCACATGATGTAGCATTCCCCACCCCTTCCCCTGCCCCACCCAGCCTGTCTCCTCTCTAGCCTCCTGCATCCTCAGGAGTCTCTTTATTTCTCTCCTGCCCCGGGTCCCCATCCCAGGAGGCAGCTGGTCGCTGAGTTGGAGAGCCCTCAGGGCCCAGCCCCAGCTCCTGGAAGCTCCCTCCCAACAGACACTTGTGAAGAGAGACCACAAAGGATTTTCCCTGCTCAGAGGCCAGGCCCCTGCTCCAGGTGTGAGCATGGGACTTGTCTCCGCCACCCCTGCCTGTCATAAGGCCCGTGGGCCCCACCATCTCCAGCAACACAGCCGGGGCCTAGGGGGAGCAGGCTTGCCCTGGAAAATGCTAACATCCCCTGGTGTCTGCTTCAGGCAATGTGAATCGTTCCTCATGAGCCAGTTCCTCACTGATTGCCCTTGCCACTTACTGCTCACTTGGAGGCCACTTGTGTTTGGACGGGGCGAGGCAGCGGCTGGCTCAGGCCTTGGCTTTCTTTGTTACAACAAAGGCCTTTTGAGAAATAAAGCAAAAGAAGCTGCTGCGGCTCCTCTGCTGTTTATTTGTCCCCTCTACATCTCCCACTGCTGCCATGAGCCCCTCCTAGCTGTGGGAGTGGGTGGCAGGGGAAGATGGCTGAGGGGAGTGATCCAGGGCCAGTGACACGCACACTCCTGAAGCACTGGGCAGAAGAGGAACAACAGGGGATCAGGACAGGGCAATGGCCTGTGAGTATATAGAAATGATGCTTCTCCTAATGCTGCATTTATCACAACAATTCACCCATTAGACTGAGGGATAAATTAACCAAGGCAGACACCATGGTGAAGAGGTCATTTTGTGTGTACCTGGAAACCCCCAGCATCTCCCATGGCTGTGATCTTTGAGGGTCACCAGGGCAGGGAACAAGGCCTGAAGAGCAGAGGAGACTGAATGGATAGAGCACACAATGACCCACACAAGGGTCAGTGCAGATGTACCCCTGGGTCTAATGCAGATCTGAGGCTGCGCAAGGCTCAAGGTGTATTCACTACCTCAGCATGGGGAATGCCCCCTCCAGCTTCTTCCAAATGAACTCAGTGCCCAGGAGTCCAGTACACTGGAGGGAGCCTTCCTCCTTCCCGATATCCCCCAGGCAGACACAGGAAGCCATGTGTCTCCACCAGGCATTGCTTGTTCCCTTGCAGCCAGCCTCTCCCAGCCAGGTCTCCTCTGGCACCTCAAACAGGTGATTAAACACTAATGGGGCTTGGCTTGGTTTGCCAAGAGGATCACAGTCTGTAACCTAGAGCAGCCGTTCCCAATCTGTGGTATGCATTAGCAGATTTATTATAATTACTTTATATGACAAAAATTTGCTGGTGGTACTTAAGGTTGAATTGAAAAATTGCTGGTGGTACTTAAGGTTGTATCATTTAAATTGGTGGTGCACAATCTGTCAGAGTTTGGGAACCGCAGACCTAGAGGCACTAGGTCTGGAACAGATGTCCTGTCTCTAGCTACTGGGGGTGAGAGCCTGGTTGCAGAGGTCTGCTGAATGGAAAACCCTCCTCATAACCCCAGGTGAGCTGGGACAAATGTTTCCACCTCACTTAGCTAGCTCTGAGCTACATAGGGCAAGCGCTGGAGAGCTTATAGCTATGGCTATGTTTTTGTCCCAAAAAACAGGAATACAGGAAAACTGCTGCCCCCTCCCATTCAGTCAGAGGGGACAGTGTTTAGGCTTTTAGCAAAGGTAGTTAAGCGAGAGCCTGTAGGAAAGAACAGGAGGGCTGCTCTCCACACTTCAACTCCCAGCAGACAGGTCACCGATGGGAAGTGCCCTTGACAAGTATGTTGCTGAGCTGTGGTAAGTGAGCAGTAGCAGGCAGGGCCTTTTCTGTGAACACCGCTTCTCACGTCTCTGCTACCACATATGCTGCAAATGGCTGTGACAGCACTGCACTGGTAATGGGCAGCCCCCACCCCAAGGTGAGAGTGGGCTGAGCCAGCACAGGTACTGCAACAGACTCTGCGGTGCTTGCTAAATGCTTGCAGCCCTGCTCAGGCAAGTGCTTGGTTTCTCTCTCTCCCATTGTTCATTGTGCTGGTTTGGGGTGGAGGTCAGCTCTGAGGCGTAGCCAAGAGAGCTTGCTCTCTCCAGTGTCCCTCAGAGACCTCTGTATTGCTGAAGGAGGCAGCTATAAAAGCAGCCAGCGCAGCCAGGTTCCCCTCCCTGGACCCCATGAAGAGCTGCTACCTGTTGGGGTTGCTGCCCAAGCTGAGAGGGGAGCACTGGCCCTGAATGCAGCCAAGCCAGAGGAATGGAGGCAGGGGTTGGAGGTGGCATAGCAGGGTCTGTCTAGGGGCAGTGAAGTGCCTGGTTTGCTTGATACCAAGCAGGTGTGAGCATTTCTTCTCTATTCCCCTTTGTCCTCTTCCTCTTCCAGCTCCCTGATAGGCTCATACGGGGGACTGGACAGCCCATGGAACATGATGTAGTGGGAGCTGCAGTAGACAGGCGGCTTGTTGGGGCTGGAATAGACCTGCTCGGGTTTGAGGGAGGCAAAGGGGTTGGCTCCACAGCCTGTGATGTTGGTCTCCAGCTCCATCAGGATCTTCAGGGAGGACTTCAGTTCTTGCTCACTGTCAGGGAGAGATGAGGGGCATGTTTACAGCCTGCCAACACCCCCCTGTCCTGACACCACATAACCTGTGCCAGGATGGTCAGTGGAAGCTTCCTCTATGGCAGTGCCCTACCAGTGCCACTTGGATGCCAACAACATGAGGCACCCCACAGCATTGCTTGGGCAATGCCCCAGCTGAAACGCTCTGGTAGCATTTTAAATAAATGTCAAGCTCTAATAGCCAATTATAGCATATTATTGCAGGGTGACATAGAATCATAGGAAAACAGAGCTGGACTAGACCTTGGGAGGTCAACTGCTTCAGCCCCCCTGGAGACCACTGTAGCTAAGGGTTTGTCTAACTTGACTCTTAAAAACTTCCAAGGCTGAAGTTTCCATAGCTTCTCTAGGTAGCCTGTTACAATGCTTAATCTCCCTCAGAGTGAAGACATTCTTCCTAATATCCATCCTCAATTTCCCTTGTTGCAATTTAAGATCACTGCTCCTGTAGCCCTTATAGCCACAAAGAATAGTCTATCCCCATCCTTTGTAAAATCCCCCTTCAAGTAATTGAAGGCATATCAATCTTCTCCCTTGAGTCTTCTCTTCTCTCAATTAAATCTTGGTTCTTTCAGCCTTTGCTCCTAAGTCTTGCTTACCAGGCCGGTAACCATTTTTGTTGCTCGCTGCTGGATTCTCCCATTGTTGATGTCTTTCTTGAAGTGTGGGCCCCAAAGCTGGATACAATGCTCTAGCTGAGGCCTCACTAGTGTTAAACAGAATGGAAGAATCACTTCCCCTGTCTTGCAGGTGACACTCCTATTAATAAAGTCCAGCATGCTGTTGGCTCTGTTTGTAGCCAGAGTATGCTGTTGGCTCACACTCAGCATGTGGTCCAGCATGCAATGACATAAATGGCACTAAAAGGTATCAGTCCAAGTCAGAGAGCAGCTGTCCCCTATTAATGACTGTCTTGAGGGCTCTGGGCATGTTGGCTCCTGGTGGGTAGACAAGCCTGCCTTACTTGTACATGGTGAAGAGGGTGGGGATCTTGTAGTCCCGCAGCAGCAGCAGGGTGGGGAGCCAGCCTTCCATCAGGTCCTGGCAGGCATGGAACCCTGCAAACAAGGGAGAAGGCAAGGTGGAAACCCTGGAGAAACCTGGTCCCAGTGCAGGGAAGAGTGGCTTTGCAGATGGAAGAAGGTTGGGGGTGTGGTCACGGTAGAAGCTGGAGCATGTTGTACAGTATTCTTATTCTCATTCACCTCTTACCCCTGCCACTGCATGCTCCAGACTCCCATAGCTAGTCTATTTTTGACAGCCCCTATTTCTGCCGTGCTGCAAACAGGTAACTCCCACTGACTTCAGAGCATTTCACAAGGAGGGGTGAAAGCAAGAGGCTTTGAGAGCCTTCACTGCAGGGTGAGGCAACTGGGTCAGTGCTGTTGGAAAGCACAGGCCACCAGCTGGGAAGGCTTGGCGGGGAGGGGGCAGGATCTCAAGGGAGACTCCATGTTCTGCAGGGTGTGGAGGGGTTGCAGCCCTCTGGGATTTTGCAGAATCATCCTGCCTTTAGCTGGACAGTCCGCAGGTGGTGTGTGCCTGGGCAGGTGCCAGTGTCTCAATGGGTCAGTGGCTTTTTTTAATTCCTAGTCACACAGCATCCCAACATGATATAAATTGCCCAGTCCTGGAAGACACAGACCCACAGCACCATGGGACTAGGATACAACTTCGCACTAAATTACCTTTCCCCATAGGACTCCAAAGCATTTTACAGATATATGACAACAAGTGATACAGGGAAGTATCACTATTCCTATATTGCATAGGGGGAACCAAGACATGCAGAGCTGTATGTTCCCCAAGGCCAAATCCTCTGTTCCAACCCATAGCCAGTGATTTTTTTTACTCCATGGCCTGTGCATGACTGCAAGAGAGGAAACCATTGGTGTTTTTCACTGTTTCCAGCTGATGCTTTTGTGTTTCAGCAGCGCTCACTACTTGTGCTAAATGCTAAATGCATGGTTCATTTGGAATGATTCTGATGAACCGGCCTTGTACTGAAGATGGCAGGATGTGTCCAGTGGGGCTTCTTTTGCTGATGGCTTGTGATGTGATGTAGGATGACCTATACTTCTTTAAGAGGGTGTTTATCCTCTGGAGTAGTGACTTTAGTTGTCTTTTCTTGTTCAGGGGATGCAATAAGGGGAGTGGAAGGCTGTGTTTTTTCTTCCCACATCTGATGCTTGTGTTTTGGATGGTTCAGGGATCACAGCACCAACTTGGGGCTGGGCTTACTTTGTAAAATTTCACCAGCGTAGTTACATAGGCTGGGAGTGTGAAACCCCTGCCAACACAGCTGTGCCCAGCTAACCTGGTGTGAACACGACTATGCTGCACACTGCACTGCATCTTCACGAGGGGGCTTTGGCAGCAAGATTCTTCCAGTGAGGACAAGCCCTGGCCTGTGGAAGACCTGAGTTCCATTCCCTTCTCTCCCCTAGACTCCCACTGGGACCTGGGGCAAGTCACTTGAGCCCAGTGTATGACAGAAGAAACTTGTCTATATAGCTGTTCCAGTGCAGCCTCTACACAGGAACACAACATAAGCACCTGTACCAGGGTCGCCAAGTAAATGAGATGTGGCAGCATCAGCCCTTCTCCACCTGCACACCAGGGTGTTTGCCAGCACAAAAACATTCTCCCAAATTACCCTCTAAAGGACATGGCTCTGGTGGAGCCCAGCCTCAGCTCCCTCTGCCAAATTAGTACTGCCCTGTGTCTCAAGTGTGGCATGCTCAGGTATCATGGCAACGGTGGGCTGCAAGTACCCAGAATGGATGAGTGACACCATTCTTTGGCAGGACACAGAAGAGAGATGTTTCAGGGGCACTGGCAGATTAGCAAAACCAAGGAGTACAGGAAAACTCTGGGGATGCCTGCTTAGCTCACCTCCCTGCTGTAGGCATCTTCTCCCCACTTGCCCCAAAGAATCTGATCAGCTTCTTAGTGCTGAAGATGGTGACTTAGGTCTACTGGTGCTCATGCCATAACCTTACTCTTTAACACTTGCCTCTGGTTGATCATCTCCCCACTACAGCCCAGATGTTGACAGTTCAGTCCTTTGAGCCTGATGCAGTGTCCTGACAACACTGCCACAATGAGTTAAGCCACCCTTTGGCCTGGATCTGACATGACATCCATCCTCCTTCCTAACGATGATGCTCTCTGGCTCACTTTGTGGAGCACCCATGGATATTTTTCGTAGCTGCATTTCAATTCCAGTAGCTCACAGACGTATTTAGTGAGGATCTTAAAAACATGCTTCCACAAGCAAAGGTCCCTAGAGCTTTCTGTTCCCTGGTCCCATGGCTCACCATGTAGCAATCACAGGAGAGGCTATACTCCACAATTCATAATATCCCCAAATGCCTTGTTGTGGCTGTTCACTGAGTGGGAAAGGAGTGGGTTCAGATACTTCTAAATACTTTAAACTGATCTCTTTTCTGAGTTCTGGAGAAAAAGACAACTTTGTGAGGGGATGCTGTGGGGAAGAATAGCAATACCCATGGACCCAATAGTGCTGAGAAGCTTGAAGTGACTATGGATCACCTCAGTGGTCTTCCTTTAGCCCACCTCCTCTCTCCTCAGGTTACACAGCAGCTGTGGTCCTCCTGGGGCCAGGGCAAGGTTGTGTTAGTGTCACATCTCTGTTTTTCTTTCCGAAAAGCAGAAATGTGACACAGTACCTAGGCCAAGGCTGCCTGGTTTTCAGGCCTCTTTGAGCATCTGTTTCCTCCTGTATCCAGCTGCAGAAGGTTGATGCTACAATACCCTTGGTCATTATCTTTCTTTTAAGTAGAGATGTGCCATGCTGATGCCCCAGCCACATGCTATGATTATTCATGTGCTTAAAAACCTCTCGCTTTCCAGTACCATTGACAGGCTGACGCAGCAAACTCCATGCATGCCTTCCTGTCCCCACCTTAGAGATCTGAGTTCTCAGGTCCAGTAGAGCAACTGGGCTGAATTCAGACCCAGCTTCCCAGGGTGCCAGATAGACAAGGTGCTATGATCTAGTGATCTGAGTCAGGTCCCTCTCTGCTTTCCCTTGCACTAGGTTAGTGGAGACTTTAGAGGATATCTAAATAGCACATGGCGTGCAGGAGATGCCCAGTGAGAAGCACATGCCATTCTTGGCTATGCTTATTAGAAGCTACCAGACACCCAGGCTGAGATGGCCATGCTGACCTGTAGCATTAAGCCTCTGGCATCCGGGCTATGCAGCACTTTCTGTGCCAGCCAGTCTTGAATGGAGTCTATCACCAAGGCTAAGAAGCAGTTAAGTAGGAGCTAATGAAGTACAGAGCCCTTAAAGATTTGCTTTGTCCCTTCCTCCTCCCTCTCACTGAACATCTGGTGCATGACACTCTCCAAGCAAGAGTATGCAAAAGGAGAAAAGAACACTCCCTCCCCAATTTCCTGCAGCATGGGGCAGTAACAGTGAGTGGCTAGAGAACGGAGCAGAACTCCTCCCAACTCTTCCAGCAACTTGCTGTGCGACTCCAGGGAAGTCAATACCCTCTGTGCACCAGTTTCCCATCTATATAAGGAGGGTAATGGAGCCTGTTTTTTTCAAGTGCTTTGAGATCCTCTGAGCCAAGGCTGTCAGGAAGCCCAAGCTTCACAACTGTGCTTTCATCAAGCACAGCAGGGACCCAGAGGTTACAGTACATGACATGCTACAGCCTGTACAGTGGCATGGGAGCAGCAACAGGAAAAGTCCCTGGGAAGAACATGCCCTTCTCAGCACTGTTCTTTGGCACAGACCCACTGCCAGTGCTTTCTAACACCTCGGTGCTGAATCACCATCTCACCACCTTAACATCCCTAGGTTGGGATAATGCATCAGCCTGATGACATTATGCACAGGACACGCCCAGGCTGCATGTGCCCCAGCAGGTGCTCTTGGCAACCCTTCAAGATGAATGGTTATTACATAGTTGGCTGTAATCACAAGGGACTGGACTCAATGAACCAGTAGGTCCCTTCCAGTCCCATGTTCTGGCATTTAAAACCTCAGCACCTCCCAGCTGCTACCATCGCTGTGCACCCACCTTCTGTATTTGGCTTTGCTAAGCTGGCCTGAGGCCTTGTCCCCAGGTTGTTTCCTAGGATACAGAAGTAAGGAAGGCATGGTGGGCAGTATCTTATCACAGAGGAAATGCAGTGTTGGGGTACACTGAAAGAAGGAGCAGGAAATATGGGCCCTTTGTTACAGTTGGAGGGGTATGAGGAGCGTGACCCAGGATGGGGCCAGCTCTGTGGGACCAGGGGGATGAGGTACCCCCTCTTCGACACAACCATAGTGAGGCTCTGCCCAGGCACTCACCTGGATGAAAGCCCACCACAAGGTCCGGGCGTGCAGCCTGCTGAGTTTCTACTTGGGATTCCCAAAAGTCATGATAGAGGCCTTTATAGCTGCTGAGGTAAACTCTACCCCTGGGTCCAAAGGCTGTCAGTGGAGGTCTCATGATGGATCCATCAACTACATCCACTCCAACCATTACCACCTCGATGCCCTGGTGCCCAGGAAATATCCGTGTCAGCTCATCATAATCTATCACCCGGGTGTTGAGGGTCTCGATGTGGGAAGCCCCAGCCACGTGCACAGTGATGGGCTTGGCGTAGGGGTCAATACTGAAAGCATGGAGCCCCAAGCCGATGGTGATTGGCCGGGACTGGAAATCTGAGGTCAGCCGCTTGATGGACTCCAGCAACTCTCCCTCCTCTGGCTTTGGCTTCCCAGCATTGGCCCAGAGGATGGTCATGTAACGCCCGGTTAGTATAGCACCCAGCTTTTCATCCAGGTGCTCCTGCATGGCAAACCAGTCTTCCCAGCCTTTTACTTCCTGGATGCGCTTAGTCCAGGTCTCCATGGGGAAAGGAATATCACCTGGTGGGAGAAGTACAGACAAGCTTAACTCTTGGGGTTCCTGCCTCCACCAGGTGGGACAGATC